TTTGAACTTTTCAAATGTTTCAGATTTGTGTTTCATTAAGTAGATATACCCATATCTGCTCAAATCGTCTGTGAAGGTCAGAAAATAACGATACCCGCCACGAGCATCAACACTCATTGGACCGCACACATCGGTATGTATTATTTCCAAAGTCACTAGCTCGTTCCATTGTTCCGGAGAACGGAGTTTTAGTCATCTTGCCCATAAGGCACGGTTCGCAAGTATCAAATGATTCATAATCAAGTGATTCCAAAAGTCCATCTTTATGGAGTTTCTTCATGCGCTTTACACCGATATGACCAAATGGAAGTGCCACAAATAAGTTGCAATATCATTATCAACTTTGCATCTTTTGGCATTAATATTATGAATATGTGTATCACTACGATTGGGATTCAATAAACCATTAACATTGGGTGTATGACCACCGAAGGTTTTATTCATGTAAATAGAATGACAATTATTCTCTGTCTTAAATGAATAACCGTATTGCAATAAACATGATCTAACCATATTCATGCTCAACGCAAACACCAAATAACATTTATTTAGGTTCAACACTAATCTCGAAAGTATAGGGAGTGTGCGATGATGATCATATCAATCTTTGAACCACTTCCAACACACATCGTCAGTTCACACTCAACTAGTATCTATTTATTCTGCAACTCCTGTTTCGAGTTACTAATCTTAGCAACCGAATAGGTATCAAATACCCAGGGGATACTACGAGCACTAGTAAGGTACACATCAATAACATGTATATCAAACATATCTTTGTTCACTAAGCCATCCTTCTTATCCGCCAAATATTTGGGCTAGTTCCGCTTCCAGTGACCATTTCCTTTGCAGTAGAAGCACTCAGTTTCAGGCTTAGGTCCAGCTTTGGGCTTCTTCACGGGAGCGACAACTTGCTTACCATTCTTCTTGAAGTTCCATTTCTTTCCCTTTGCCATTCTCTTGAAACTAGTGGTCTTGTTTAATCATCAACACTTGATGCTTTTTCTTGATTTCCACCTTCATCGATTTGAGCATCATGAAGAGCTCGGGGATCGCTTTCGTCATCCCTTGCACATTATAGTTCATCACGAAGTTCCAGTAACTTGGTGATGGTGTATAGAGAACTCTGTCAATCACTATCTTATCTGGAAGATTAACTCCCACTCGGTTCAAGTGATTGTAGTACCCAGACGTTCTGAGCACATGCTCACTAGCCGGGCTATTCTCCTCTATCTTTTAGGCGAAGTACTTGTCAGAGGTCTCATACCTCTCGACACGGGCATGAGTCTGAAATATCAATTTCAACTCTTGGAACATCTCATATGCTCCGTGGCGTTCAAAATATTTTTGAAGTCCCGGTTCTAAGCCATAAAGCATGGTGCACTAAACTATCAAGTAGTCATCATATTGAGCTAGCCAAACATTCATAACGTTTGCATCTGCTCTTGCAATAGGTCTGTCACCTAGTGGTGCATCAAGGACATAATTCTTCTGTGCAGCAATGAGGATAAACCTTAGATTACGGACCCAGTCCGCAGCGTTGCTACTATCATCTTTCAACTTAGTTTTCTCTAGGAACATATCAAAAAACATAGGGAAGCTACAACACGAGCTATTGATCTACAACATAATTTGCAAATACTATCAGGACTAAGTTCATGATAAATTAAAGTTCAATTAATCAAATTACTTAAGAACTCCCACTTACATAGACACCCTTGAGTCATCTAAATGATCACGTGACCCAAATCAACTAAACCATGTCCGATCATCACGTGAGATGGAGTAGCCATCAATGGTGAACATCATTATGTTGATCATATCTACTATATGATTCCCGTTCGACCTTTCGGTCTCTAGTGTCCCAAGGCCATATTTGTATATCCTAGGCTCGTCAAGTTTAACCCGAGTATTCCGTGTGTGCAAATCTAGCTTGCACTCGTTGTATTTGAACGTAGAGCTTATCACACCCATCATCACGTGGTGTCTCAGCACGAAGAACTTTCGCAACGGTGTATACTCGGAGAGAACACTTATACCTTGAAATTTAGTAAGGGATCATCTTATAATGCTACCGCCGTACTAAGCAAAATAAGATGCATAAAAGATAAACATCACATGCAATGAAAATATGTGACATGATATGGCCATCATCATCTTGTGCTATGATCTCCATCACCGAAGCAACGTCATGATCTCCATCGTCACCGGCTTGACACCTTGATCTCCATCGTAGTGTCGTGGTCGTCTCGCCAACCATTGCTTTTATGACTATCGCTACCGCTTAGTGATAGAGTAAAGCAATTGCATAGCGTTTGTATTTCATACAATAAAGCGACAACCATATGGCTCCTGCCAGTTGCCGATAACTTTTACAAAACATGATCATCTCATATAACAATCTTTATATCACATCATATCTTGACCATATCACATCAGAACATGCCCTGCAAAAACAAGTTAGACATCCTCTACTTTGTTTGCTGCAAGTTTTTGTGACTGCCACGGGCTTCTAGCATGAACCGTACAAACCTACGGCACAAAAACCACAACGGTGATTTATCAAGTTTGCTGCTTTAACCTTCACAAGGACCAGCCACAGTCAAATTCGATTCAACTAAAGTTGGAGAAATAGACACCCGCCAGCCAGCTTTATGCAAAACTAGTTGCATGTCTGTCGGTGGAACCAGTCTCATGAACACAATCATGTAAGGTTGGTCCGGGCCGCTTCACCCAACAATACTGCCGAATCAAAATAAGACATTGGTGGTAAGAAGTATGACGATCATCACCCACAACTTTTTGCGTTCTACTTGTGCATATCATCTACGCATAGACATTGGTGCCACACAGTTTTCTTCATCAAATCGTGTGTGATGTAGTTGAATAAAAGCAAACGGTTAACCGAGGCAGAGCGTGTGTGATAGTTACACCTATCACACACGGGCCTATACATAAAACTGTGTGGGATCTACATACGAACGGAAATGTTTTCCCTGGATTGACTGTGTGACATAATGTACATACAAACAAAAACGTTTTCCCTGGATTGACTGTTTGGGATGTACATAAGAACGGAAACATATTCCTTGGATTGACTGTGTGGAATGTACATAACAAACAAAAATGTTTGTTTGGAACTGACTGTGTGGGATGTATTTACGACCGGAATCGGTTGGGCCTGTATAATCGTATTTGATCGCTCGCTCGTCGCACACGACCTTATTTTGTCGAGCGTGTGTGCCAGGAGGGCCTATCCTCGATGGTTTTTGGGTCGTGTGGGAAGGACCCCCCTACCGCAGTCTCTCACTAGGCGACGGTTCAGAACACTGTCGCGGAAAGGGGTTAAAAACCGTTTGTATAGCACCTCGATGTACCAGTGACACCCCTATATCTGTCATATTCATGACCAACCGAGCTCCCCTCCCATCCCTACTCCGGGCAACAAAGTTGTCGAAGGAGTAGAGGGAGTTAGGGAGAAGGAGGAGACTCTCAAGGGGAAGGGGAGGAGTAGAGAGAAAGATGAGAATGAGAGCCCCCTCAAATCAATCTTTCATACCATCTTCTTCTAGTGATCCATCCTTTTACTCTGCTCAGTCGCCCCTCTCTTGCGGGCTAGAGCCACAGTCATGCCACCTTATATTGACACAATGGCAATTACTATCATTCCTCTAGTCACGAGCATGAGTTTCTCTCCTACGTTATATCCAACTCCAACCCTATATCTCCGCTGTAAATTTGACATATATACTTGATCGGTGTCATGACTGGATTTGTTCATGACCGTCTTCGCAATTGTGGTCCCTTTGCATTGTAACCACCTCTCCCCCTTAATGTTTACGATCGACCATAGCCCATAGGTTTCAAGTCAACTGCGAAATGAAACCGTCACATGTCATCTAATAGTATCCCCTCTGAAAACTAATGCAAGACCAGTAATATTACCTAGCCGACATTCGCTAGGAGAGGGGTGGCAAGCGAACGTCATTTAACGACAATTTTAGTTGTGAAGAAAAAACAAACAACGGTACTCCCTCTATAAACTAATGTAAGAGCGTTTAGATCACTAAAGTAGTGATCTAAACGCTTTTATATTAGTTTATGGAGGGAGTAGTTTTTAAACAAAAATGCCTTCTCTGATGAAACTGACACGTTGTTTGGAAAAAACTGCCACTCCCTCAAAACTAAAAATGCCACCTAAAATGTCCCAGTGTGTCATCCTTGCTAGCGAACGTTCGCCAGTTATGAGCATCCAAGAGGATAGGTATCTGCAATATTGCGAGCCCTAACCTTCACGGGGCCAGCCGCCAGGTGCGCAAGGCGGCGACCTCGGACCTCCTGACCTCGCGGCAGCTCGCGCCAGGTGCTGGTCTCCGGCGGCAGGCTACACCGCAGTGGCGCAGGATCCCAGGGTGAAAGCAGCGAGCGCTTCCCTCCTCTTCGGCGTCTTCATCCCTGCCACTCTGCTCGTCCGCGATTACAAGGTGCGCCCCCTCCCGCCGGAAAAACCCCCCTAGTCTGCGCTGGAGACGGCGGAGATCTGATTGGTTGTCGCCCGCGTGGCTCCGGGTCCCGACTTTGTTCTACTTTTCCCTGATTGTTTGCTGGATCTGATTATATAGCGAGTGATGTCTCCCTGTGAAATGACAGTCAACCTTAGCCTGTTAGGCATTCCCCTTTGTTAAATTTCATGGTCGCCAGGTATTGTTTTCCCTCGTGGATGCTCAACAGTCTGAACTTGCATTGTTCGTGCTCGTTTAACATGTCGAGCCTATGTGGACGCAACATGTTTTTGCCTTCTGTATTTAGCTTCCATGGCAGCTGGTTATGTTAACTATGTAAGGGGCATCAGCAATCAGCAAGGAATTTGTAGTATGCAGAAGCACTCTCAGATAGTGAATTTTGCTTGCTGATGGCTGCATTGTGCTGACTGCTTAGAACTGTGTTTGCCCCCCAACTGATTTGTCATTTCCCTAACACCAGGGTCAAGCTGCTGTGAGATGGATATTTTGTATCTATGCAAGGATGTCTTAAAGATTCAGAAGTTTAGGCGACTGGCGTCTTATGCTGGATTTTATTCATTCACCACCCTCGTTACCTATGCTTACACAAGCAATACGTATGTCCCTGCTGAATTGCCCTTGTTTACAGACCTGCAGTGTCTTGCCACTTCTTATTCTTACCTGCCAACATTCTTCTCTCCTGCCCAACTTATTGCAGGACAAGGGCTGGCATTTCGAGGGCTGATCAGTATTATGCCGCCTACCCTTCTGGTACTGAGCTACTGACTGATACTGCAAAGGTATGAAAACCGAAAGGAGCACTTGTGGTTAATCATGTCAGATTTTTTGTTAAATCTGGGCAGTAAGCAGTAAATGTAACAAAGTTGTTGTTTTGTTTACTAATTTAATCGAGTTGACTTGATTAAGGGAAGCGGTACCTGATTTCTTTTGTCTGTTTGCAGCTTTACAAGGCTGCGTTGGGTAATTGTTTCGAAATAGACGACTGGGGTCCAATAGAATTCTCCATCATGGCAAAGCATTTTGACCGGCAAGGCAAACCACCATATGCCTACCATGCTGTAAGTTTCTTAATACTTGCAGATACAAATTTGAAAACAGTTCTGCTCCTTGTTCTGGGGTTTTCTCCCTGCGTGCTTTGCAAGTCTTACATCAATTGCTTACCGTGTGTTTTCAGCAATACATGTCACACCTTCTATCCCATGGCCAGCTCGATGGAAGTGGTTAACTGCAGGGATGTGTTCTGTTAGATTCTCTTGAGGCTTCATTGTAGTCCTTCAGTTATTTGTAAGAAAGAGATGGCTCGCTGAAATCTTGAATTGTTCTGGCCTGTTACGACGGATGGCATAGTCAAAATCGGTGATGCTGAGCTGTTGCAATATCAACTTATTAATAGTCAAAACTTTGCGGAATTTCCCCATGAATAATCATGGTTGCACCTAGTTGAAGCAAGCATTGGTGATCTCTCATCCTTTTTGTTATTGCTGAATGTAACTCTTTTGTGTGTCAGTGTTCATAGCAGAATTAGTTTGTGTTCTCTTGCTCGATCTGCCGTTTCACCAGCAAAGACCAGTGACCTTAATCCTGCACCTGGAGTTGTAGGTGCATGAATGGCAGATGCTGGTTGGCTCCTGAACTAGATGTTTTCAGTGCCGGTTCAGGAGTTCCTCGAGAGTTTCTGCTCAGGCACTTGTACATTACTATATTCTCTATAACGTTGTCACGAGCCATTTTATTGAACACAATATTTCCAGTAGACTTTTAAATACCTTCTCAGTGCTGGTAGTAATCTATGTAGAGCTATACTTTGAAACAACAGTGTGAACTGCGCTAGTTATAAAATCAACAAGGACTGTTTTTGCAAGTGGGTGTTGTGCGGCAACCTTTGTCTTGTAAGGAGGAACCCACAGGCAGGGTTGATGATTGTTCTATGTTCTGCGAGTAGTCTGAACTCTGAAGGAGGAGCCTGTGGTTTTTGCTTTGTTTTCCAACGAAAGCTAGATATATCTGCAAATAAAAGCGTGATTTCTTCTTTACAAAAAGGCATAGAACAGAATTGTTATTTTGCCAAACTTTTGCCTATAAGGCGAGGCAGACGCCGCGTCACAAGGAACGCATATATCTTGCAATTTACTTAGCACAATGAAAGCAACACATTAGACAGAAAAAGTAACGGTAAAAGATAAGGTTAAGAAAGACTTCACAGCAGAACACATCTATCAACAGCTTGGTCGTATCACCAAACCTCCTCAGAGCAAAATTAACCCAGAAACACCATCTGAAAAAAATAAAATCATATCTGGTCTTTGGCTTAAAGTATGTCTAGAAAGGTGAGAGCAGCGATAGAACACACGAGCGTGCTTGCTCTCGGTATATAGACCAGTGGGACAATGCCGCGTTGCTGCGTGTATTAAATGCGATCGTGTAAGCTGGGGAGTATACAGATCATTGGACAGTATTATACGTTGACGGCGCCGTGCAATATGACGAGGCGGTAATGGTACACATAACATATGTTCTGTTGGTACATGAACCATGGGTCCACCCCCCCACCCCACCCCCGACGCTTAAGAGAGAAAAAAAAAAGGAAAAATATATCCCTTCGGCGCCGCACGACTCGAGCAGCTCAAAGCTATGGCGACGGCGGAGGCCGGAGGCGATTGATTCGAGTTCTTATTACATCAGGTTGATAGGTATGCTTCCTCGCATCGCTTTTGATTCGTAGTTACTGCCGCTGTTAGTAGATACAAAGGTTCATAGTCTTCCCCATCATTTGAACAGGTTCCTGCTGCCGGATCTTGGAGGTGGGGAAGCCACACCTGACAGCGAACGCAACGAAACTATGGTCTTCGAGGATGCCGCATCAAGCATTGGAGATGTGGGCGATCTGGCACTGACAGTGCAACTAGAACTGAACAACACTTGTGAGGAGCTCAGGTTGCCGGTGCCCAGCTCAGAACAGTCAACAGGAAAAGACGGTCCTCAGGAGTCAGGCGCAGGGCTGGACGAAGAGGTATATTTAATTCACTGTATTTGGTTCCTCTTAGTTGAAATTGAACTGAAGTTTAAGTAGACTAGCATAAAAGTTGTAGCTTCCTTCGGGCTGATCATTCAGTTATCCCTTGAATTTTAGTAGTCTAGCATGAAAAATTGAACTGAACTTTAAGTATACTAGCATAGAAATTGTGGCAGCCCTTGAGCTTGTCATTCAGTTATCCCTTGATTTTGAGTAGTATAGCATAAAAATTCAACCGAATCATGTTTATACATGTCGTGCAATCATAGTTATAAGAAAGAAAACAAACTTTCCATTCTGTGTTAGTAAAAATTGTTTCTTAATTGATCAGGGTTCGTGCTGGAAATGCACCTGCTGAACGGCCACCCTGCGCTGGCAGAATAAGTGCCCTGGAGAAAACATTAAGAGGTTATGCAGAGAAGAAGACTGAGACTGTTGTGGTTCCTCAAATGCATACTCCCTCCGTCCGGAAATACTTGTCATCAAAATGAATAAAAGGGGATGTATCTAGATGTATTTTAGTTCTAGATACAACCCTTTTTGTCCATTTTGATGACAAGTATTGTTGGACGGAGGGAGTAGGAAGCAACTTCGATTCGCTTGGGCAAGCATATGACTAATACAACCTGTATTCATGCGGAATTGGATTTGGAATTAATACGGCAAGAGCAGGAAATAGTCTGTGGATGCCTGGTGAGTATTAATTTCAATTGGCTATTGTTTATAACATGATCCTGCTGGTGCAGATGCCCCACAGTGATACGGTTGTTGCGATCAAACGAAAACGGCTGGTACGTCAGTGAAAACAGGATGCCACACAATCATCGCCGACGGAAAAGTGTGGCCAGAAGGTGTGCTGGCCTTCACACAAGCATATCGATATATACACGCATGATGTTGTCAAACAGCTCTGTGAAAATAATATTGGCATTGGCAAGGTTTACAATATAATTTCTAGTTTCTTCGGTTCAATGAGCAATATACCATTCAGAAAAAGGCGTTGAGGGGGCCGTGTGGGCAAATAAGTCGCGATCAGGCAGATGATGATGTCCGGAAGACAACGGAGGTTTGTTTGAAAAATATTTATACACTCGACCTATGTTTGAAATTGAACACGCCACTGAAATTGCATGGTAGCGATGTATATACACGAGCTATGTTTGAGAATTTTGGGGAAGTCCTGTATGAAGGAGGGCAGTACAAAGTGGAAGTGGTCAGTAAAGGCAAAACCTATTTTGTGCGATGGTATCATCCAAAGAAGCATGAATAGTGGTGCAGGGTTGTCTCCAAAGTTGAAGTTATTGAGCAGGGCAGAGAACTCACATGTGCGTGTGGCAATTTCGAGCACACATGATTGCTGTGCTGCCATGCAGTGAAGGTAAAAATATTTATAGACGAAAGCATTTCGTTGTGAATCCCATTTCTTAAGCTACTTGAATGACCATGCTAATCTTTCGGTTTTGTAGGTCCTCGATTTCCTTGGTATAGACCAGATACCAGCAAAACACATTCTTGAACGTTGGAAAAAATGCAAGGGATATATTGGCAGACCACTTGGCACATCTTCAAAAGGATAAAATTTCAGTGACCTCAATAACATTCAGACACACAAATCTATACACACATGCCCTTGAAGTTGTGAGATTTGGAGATGCAAGCATACTGCATATGAGTGTGCAGTTAATCTCTTGAAATCAACAATGGATAAATTGAGGCCTATAGCCACTGTGCGGGATGGAATAGGGTCAAAGGACAGAATTCAGACGAACAAGGGAAAAACTTAAGAATTGATTGCATTGCATGCACCTTCCAGTGGATGTGCTAGTGACGCCGAAGGGAGTGGCATTGATAATTTCATGGGTTTAAAAGCTCCAGAACCAAAGCGTAAATCAGGTTGACCAACCACCAGCAGGGACAAGCCTCCATATGATGACCGGGGTGCAAAAAGCAAAAAATACAAACGAGCAGGAAATGCACATGGTGTCGGCGGATGCGGTACAAGCAAATGTTCTTGCTTCTGTAGCATATGGTGCGATCCAGGACACGACAGCACCACCTGTCCGCAAAAGGGTGATCTTCCTCAAAAATAAAGGAAGGAAGCTAAATGTTCAAACTGTGGTGTCAGTGGTCACAGAAAGAACACCTGCAACAAGCCTAAGGTGGTTCTGCATGTTGTTGAAAATGCTACTTTACAGGAAAATGAAACCTGTGGGTGACCTACTTAAGTTCAGTTTTTCTTTGTGTGTCGTTGAGGGCTCCGTAGCCGTTATGTGTAATGACAACACTAAGCACACTGTGATGTTTGTTTCAGTTCATCTGTGTTGTGTGCATGTTTATCACAATTACTACTGTTTTTCACATGGGTAGCATGTTGTGTGGTGGATGCATGCTCCCCTGCTTATTGCTTGCAAGACAGTTTGGTGTAGATGCTTTTTAGAGTAGAAGTTCAGTTGGTTTTTCCCTGCTCTTCTCTTGAGCTATTGCTTCTTAGTTCTTACTGGCAGGATTCGGTGGACGGAAGAGCTGACGACATATCCATGGCAGATGAAGCTTTCAAAGATAAAGCTGAAGTTCAGTCTCATTTTGCGGCCGTCAAAGAGGTGGGCGACTACGGCCCGGGAAATCGTAGCTCCGCCGACGATGAGAACTGCTCTGATCCAGGAAGCTACTCCGAGTCAAGCAAGCTACTCCGAATCAAGCAATAAGGTTGCAGATGAATCCGGCGGCGACGTCCAGTACTGGCGACGTCAATGGTGGCAACCGACCAGAGAAGCGATCAAAGAATGCGGGCGCGTGCGGAAAGCAAGTGGTCCCACGTTTACTGTTGTAGTTGGCGGTCAACTAATCTAGGTTGAGGGTTGACGTCCGTCGCCACACCAGACCTAGTAGAAAAACTCCCGTCACTTCAGCTTCGACGTCCGTCGCCCCACCTTACGACGGACACGGCTCCTCTGCCGTGCGCTAGGTGACGTTGGGCCGCTGACATGTGGGCCAGGTTTCCCACAGGCCCACATGTCAGTGGTAGAACGACAGGCTGCCGAACGGTAGAGGATCCTCATGCCCTTACAACCGTCGCCTCTTCCGTTCATACTACGCATTAAATATGACACCGTACACGACCGGCAATACAGCACGGGTTCCATATCCCGAAACGAAGCAACGCCTGAAGATACCGTGACCAGGCGAGCTCGTCCGCGCCCTTGAATTTTCGCACATATGCCTCATTGCCACTCTGTGCTCTTTCTGGGTTCAGTATCAAATTGCCGACTTTACATACTAATGTATGACCCAACCTGAAAAAAAATTCTTATTTGATACTGGCAACAGATAAATTGCACTTCTCTGATCCAAACGAATGGTAAAGCATCCATTGCAGAAACATGTTTCCATAATGACAGACGACAAATGAAAAACATGTTTACATACTTATTACATACAAATTATTGAAGATGCCCTAACAGAGTCCACTCTGTACAAAGCACTCCCTTTATCAAAATGTAAGACGTTTTTTGGTTTTGATTGAGACTCAAAAACATGTTACATTTTGACAGAGGGAGTACTTGTCAGCAGATACAGATATATTATAATAACAAA